GAAGGATTTATAAAACGGCAGGAATAAATTTGGCGATATTTAATGTAAGACATCTTTGAGGAAGGTGGACTTCTGCGCCTCCTTAGAAAGTCTGGCTCAAGGCAAGGGAGTTTGGAAAATTACACATTTCCTCAAAAAATACATTTAAATGAAACTAGCAGAGTTGGAAAAAGGAGTAGTTACAGAAAAATACATTTGGAGACGTTGAATTATTTTATGCAGAAAAAGAACAGAACAGCAAAGTTTTCTCATCTAGAAACTTGTTTTGTGACCAGAGGAGAGTCGAGTTTTCTTCAACGCTTAACCTCTGCAACTTTAACAGAGGAGGAGATTTTCGTTTTTGCTACTTTGAAAAGGTTATTTCTTCAAAGTGCTGTGGGGGTGGAGGCAGAAGTAAAGTGAAAAACATTTTTTACATTTTTTTGTTATTCTGCAAGTAAGAATTTAAAGAGTCAGCCAATGAATAATTATTAAGTTACTCTGACATCTATGAATTTCCTTAGAAAATGCAAAAGTAATGTAAATATTTATAACACTTCCTCTCAGTCACCTATCTATGACGAAGAGCAGTGGTGGGATTGGTTTGCACTCATCCATACAGTCAAAAACCTGACTTTGGTTTTTGATGCCAAAGTCAGGCCAAGGAGAAAAAAATGACATTTTCTAAGCTGTAGCTTAAGTAGGCCTCTTTTCAGCTGATGGAGTCTTAAAACGAGATGCTGTTGAACTCCTAGAGTGGAATTGCAAAGTCTCACATGGAAAAACTTCCCTGAAAATAAAATGGTTCTCACCAACTTTGACGCCAAAATCCAATATGGCTGTCATGTGTCTAAAAATACCCAAAAACATGCAAAATGATATGCATTTTCAAACATATTTCCTTCATGTTCAAATGCATAAAGACCTTTTGTGTTGCAGGGTTTCCCCCAGTGTTTTATAAGCCTGGCAGCCCGCCATGCTTTCCTAGCCCCCCCTCCAGGCCAAGCGTTGCTTGTTTTTGGTTTTAGAAAAATTAATAATCCAAAAAAATAAAATAATAATTCTTTTATTATTTTATTTTAATCCGGATTGCAAGCGTCTCTGTTGCTCTGAGTGTTTCACTGGTGGAGCAAATTTATTCCTAAAAGTTTATAGTTTATGCATTTAAACCAATGCATAAACCAATGGACCAATCACACAGCTGCTGGTGAATGATCTCCGCCCTCCTTTCACTCAAACAGGCTGACCTGTATGGATATTTACATCAACCCCCTGTGTGGAATTAGGTTTCTTTGGCGAACTCCACATCAAGGTAAGAGTTTAAACCCACCGGGTTAGCTCTGGTTTCGCAGCTCTATGTGAACAGCAGGAATAACTTGTAGCTGAGCTTTCAGACGTGCAGTGAGGGAGCGGTGAGGATGATTTATATTTGTGAAAAAACAATTATGTGGGGCGTTTACATCTCAACACACTGCCCAGTGCCCGGCTCTGTCTTCCCTGTAAAGTTCATGGTCCCAGTTGGCCTGAGCTTTACTGGTTAACGAACCAGCGCTGACCTCATCATGCAGGTTCAGCCCGGTGAGGAGCTTTCGCGCTCGCTGCACCAGACAAAGACACACCTGCAGTTTATTAAAGTTTTTAAACTGTTTGAAAAAAAAATATTCTTGCCTGATTTTGTTGGGGGGTTTTTGTTACTTATATGAATTATTGACATTTTTGACAATAATTCATATAAAAATACCAACATTTCCAGTTAACTTTATATTTTGGTCCATTTGATGATGTAATTTTTAAATATTAAATGTAGACTTTTTAACAAATACTTTTTTACTCATACTTGAATAATTTCTTGGACGACTAATTTTTATTTTTACCTGAGTAAAAGTATAGTATAGCATAGTGTAGTATAGTATGGTATAGCATGGTATAGTATGGTGTAGTGTAGTATAGCATAATATGGCATAACATAGCACAGTATAGTACAATGTGGTATAGTATAGTATAGCACATCATAGCATTGCATAGTGTAGTATAGTATGGTATAGTATGGTATAGTATGGTGTAGTGTAGTGTAGTATAGCATAATAATGGCATAACACAGCAAACAATGTGGTATAGTATAGTATGGTATAGCACAGCATAGCATTGCATAGTATAGCACAGTGTAGCATAGTATGGTATAGCATGGTATGGTATGGTGTAGTGTTGTAGTATAGCATAATATGGCATAACACAGCATAGTATAGTATAGTGTGGTATAGTATAGTGTAGTGTAGTATAGCAAAGTATGGTATAGCACAGCATAGCATGGCATAGTATAGTATAATGCGGTGTAGTGTGATATAGCAAAATATGGCATAATATAGTACAGTATAGCATAGTGTAGTATAGTATAGTTTAGTATTGTATAGTGTAGTATAGTATAGTATAAAAAATAAAGAACACTTGTTCCATTAGAAGATTCTTTTTTTACTCCAGAGTAAAAATATGAAATAAATTACAGCCAAATATCATCCAGTTTCTCTTTAAAACGGCCACTTTGACACGCTGGCTGACAAACGTGCGCTTACCTAATGCGTCACGTCAACGGATGAACTCTGAACACGCCGACCTGCCAGCAACGGTAACTTTTATTTTGATGTAAGCTTGGTTTTCCACTGCTGTTCAAAGTGAACAGTGAGTGGAGATTACGACCGACAGTGAATTCAAATAAGAACTGCAATGCGCTCATAAAAGGAAAGGAAACCAAGGAAGCAGGAGAAAATAATGCGTCAAGTCAGAATAAAAGCAAGAGACCATATCAAAGACTATCTGTCCCGATAATGACTCCACTCGAATCATGTTAATGAACAAGTGAGTTCGGTCTTCGCTCATTTTCTCCCCCCATGTGAATAAAAGTGTAGCTGTCGCTGTAATCATCCAGTACAGCAGATCAATGGACCGTCTTTAACCACAGTGATTCAGAGAAGTCTGATATAAATAGCTGCTAATTTCACAGATACACACAAAAATAGACTTAATATCACAGAGTCTTTTGTGGAAAAAGTAAAGAGGAAGACTGGAAGTTAAAGGATCTTGCCCCATGAGACAATTTAATTTAAAAACAGATAACTATGGTGGTTTGCAAAATAATTTAGTTTTTGTGTTTTCAGATTTTGTCACATTGCAGCTACAGATCTCAATTCATTTACTGGGATTTTAGCAAATAGATCAACACTAAAAACTTCACAATCATAAATGGAAGCTGGAAGATGCAAGTGCAACAGACTGAATGAGTTAGGAATTTATATTTTTCATTTTTATTTTACATATGAAGGAACTTATTTTTGAAACCTGGTGATCACAGAATCTATGATGATGATTCCAGCAGAGAGAATAAATGAACTGCATGAACTGCAAAATATTACAAAGTAGTTTTGGTCCAGTTTGTCGTGCAAATATCTTCATTCACTTGAATTAAGACAAAACTAACTTACAAGTAATGTTTATGTAAGACACAGGAGCTTGTTTTAGGTCACTGATTCCTTAATATTGATGATAAAGTATTAGCTCCTCTGGCAGATTATTTCACTTAAACATTTTCTCCAATGTTTTCCCATATGAAATATTAATAATAAACAATAAATAATGTCTTCTTTTAAGTGTCCTAAGATGTTTGCACTAGAAACTAAACCAATATTACTTGGTAAGATTTTGTGTTTTTGCAGTTCAGATTTTTTCAGTGACCATCACAACCCACAGGCTGTTTGAACAAAATTATATTGAATATGACAAAACCAATGAGATATAAGAGGATGTGGCAGAAAATATTTAAAAAACAGAGAGAAAGGGGTGAGAATAAATGGAACAAGAGGCAAAATAAATGTGCAGGAGGCAAAAGAAGAAAGGGATCAAAGACAAAGGCAAACAAAGAAGAGTTGGAAGGAGAAAACAGGGTGAATGCAAAGGGGTAAAGATGAAAATAGTGCCTGCTCTCATTGCTGTCTGCTACTCTTGTTTTGGCAGGATGTAAAGTGAGTAGATCCTCAGGGAAGTATTACACAATAGCACACATACAAGCACATGAACACTCTCTTCCCATTCATGCACCGCAGGCGCATTGGAGAGGGATCTACGTGTCCAGCTATGCCCACAGTGCAGCTCTGCCAGCAGTGTGGGAGTCCAGGACTGTGGCCTGTTTATAACCTGTCACCGAGACTCTAATCTACACCGACAGCTCCCAGGTGACCAATGGGCTCACTGCCCCGGCAAGTGACAAGCCGCTGGGCAGGCTGAACCCTGTGTTGAGATTGGGAATCTCAATCGATGAATCATAATTTGTATTGACACACGGAGCATAAAATCAGCCAAGAAAAGCATTCAGACTTTACTTATTTTATTAACTTTCAGCGCTGAAAGGAGACACTTTACCATTACATCCGAGAAGAGTTTCTAAAAAAGTCTGTGCAGCGTCTGAGGAGAAAGAGGAGGGCAGCTGATTATATGGACGGAAGACACTCCCTGAAATCATACCATGCCTCTGTGGCCTGATAAGTTTCTGTTTCTCGTGAGAAATGGACCTTGGTGTCTAACAGAATCAAAAATGTAACTCTTTACTATGGGCCCTTTGTCTAACAGCGTGTGACTCTTTCTCGGCCTTGGTAAAGCATCTCAACACCTAATAGTAATCATAATGATTTAACTAATTTACTAATCTCAACACCTGCTAACCTTCACAGACACTCACAGGGAAGAGCAAACTGCTACGCTTCTGTTCAAATGTGTGTGTGTGTGTGTGTGTGTGAGGGGGAAGAGCGACTGCAGCCTCCGAGCTGGCCGGAGTACAAGAAATTAAATCAATACCGCAATCAGCAAAGACTAAAAGATTAGTGAGGGGGGAGAAAGGGTGGACGGAGTACAGAGAGGGTGCATTAGGAGGAAAGGGGGGTTATATGAAGAGGGGAAGTGGAAGAGAAGGAGAGAATGCTGTACAGTAATGAGCCGATATATAAAGCAGCAGCACAGCGGAGCAAGGCTCGTACCTGCTGGCGTAGTGTTCAATCCTGCTGTGTGTGTCTGCATGGGGCAGCCTGGGTGAGGAGCAAGGGCTGTAAAGAAGCAAATTCAAAGTCATTATTCCTCGGTGAAAAAGAAAAACACCTTAGTTCAACATGAAACAGTACAAGAGGCCAGCATGCGAGACACAGCAGGGGGGAAACGGAAAGTTACTGCAGGCATTTGGTTCTGGTGGAAGAAGTAGCATTTAAGAGTTTGTGATTAGAAATGCTCACTTTATTCTTCTGCCATGATGAAAACGGGAAATGTCACAAGATGTGTTTCCAACACTGTAAAAATGATTTTTGGTCTAGTTTCTAGTGCAAATATCTTAGTTCACTTGAAATAAGACAAAATGCCTCAAAAGTAACCTGTCAGCAAGATATAGTTACTTGTTTTAAGCAAATAATTTCTTAATATTGATAAAAAAGTTATAGTTCTATTGGCTGATTATTTCACTTATAACATGGGACAAAATTCTTGTTAAAAGTAAAATAGTTTACCAATGTAGCTAGAACCTTTTCATCAATATTAAGGAATTATTGAGTTAACACAGGCTCTTATTTCTTGCTGAAAAGTTACTTTTGTCTTATTTCAAGGGTACTAAAATATTTCCACTAGAAACTAGACCAAAATTACTTGGTAAGATTTTGTGTTTTTACAGTGCATTGACCATATAACTGCACAATTTGACATTTTGCATGACACAAGTCAAATGATCAATAACCGGATGTCGCCACTGGACAGCAGGAAGAAGTTGGAGGATGACGGTGAAGAATATTTTTTTAAAGACTTATTGCATGAACAAACTTATTCACATGTGATTTTAACTGCGTTTCTTATTTAATGGAAACACCTGAATTACGAAATCATGTTTTTTTCAACATTAGCGAAACATTGACAAAGTTTTGCACACATTTGTAATGGAAACACAGCTGATGATAAACGATGTAAATCTGAATATGACTTCCTTCTTACATGGAAAAAAACTCATGTTCAGATAGAGGTGGAAGTATTTATGGACCAAATACCTTTAATTCAAATTACCTTGAAAAAGTACTTTACTGATTACTTGATTTTAACGGTAACCAAGTTAGATTATCAGTTACTTTCAGCTGCCAATAATCTCCCCCTCTTGCTGGTTTTGGGCCTAAGTTTAATTCTTTTATTTTTAGTTTGGGACCTCCTGCCTCTGCTTTGCACCACCTGGTGGGACTTGATCTGTCAGTCTGACTGCGCCGTGCTGCGACTCCAAATGTTTCTTCAAATGCAATGCGATATTTTTAAAGCTAGAAAGGTTGGAAGGCTATTGTAACACCCAGAGTGCAACACTAATTGATTTTGTTTTCATGTATTAATGTTTATGTCATTTTACTCAAGGAAATTGTGAAAGGAGAGTTTTAAAAATAAGGAGTAACGTTTGTCTGACGGCACGTTGCTGCATCTTCTATCACAGCCCTGGACTTAATCAGCCGCTGCTTCCTATCTCTCCATCTTATTTGATCCTCAGAAAGTCTCATTTCTGTTCTGAGTAATGTTTCTTTAATTTTAGAGGTTATAAAACAATGACACAATCCGGTGAAACACGGCCTCATGCTACATCATTCTGGGTGCTCTTGTAACCTGAGGCTACTGCTTCCTGGTGAGCTCACGGGTTTTTATCTCACTGCTCCGGTTCTGCGTTTCTTTTCCAGCAGACTTGCTCATAAGAAATGTGCCTGAATCAGAGCGAGATCACAAGGCTAATGTCACGAACACAGAGAAGTGACTTTAAACCATTCTGGTGATTATCAGGAAACATTAGCAAGAAAACACAACAAATAAAAGTAGATGAAAATAAAAACCTATTTTATGTTCGAATCAGTTCAATTTCAAAGCAATATGTATATTTCAGGAAGCAGCAGATATTTCAGAGTTTACTCATTATAATTGTTGAGTCTTGTTTCAATTTATGAAACATGATCAAACATTTTTCATCCTCAGTAAACTTTTTTTTTAAATAAAAACTTTTCACAGTAGCAAAAACACTTAAAGACAAAAAAAAATCTTGTTTTGCGAAATATGTCGTGTTGTTGGGCAACAGCAGAAATTTCACTTTAAATAAACCTACAAAAGGCTCAAAATGTTAATTTTTGTCCTGTTTTTTTAAACAAACGACAGCAGTTTGTGCATAAGCAGAGTATAAACAGTGACAACATAATTTATTCGCTTTAGTGCACAGATGTTTTCTGACATTTACCTTCTTATTTCATAAACTGTATTGCATGATTATTGTGAGTCATTGTAATATCTATTAAAGCAATAATGTTGCTTTTTTTTCCATGTTTGCAGCCTTTTATCACAATAAAGCAGAAGTTAAACTAGTGTTTCTCAAACACTCATGAATCACCTCACTTAGCATTACTTCGCAATAACACAACATCTTAATGTACAAAGCCTGAAACAAATCCATTAGCCTCTTAGCTCATCGTCTTTGTTCGTCCTAATGTGAAGGGTGGCGCTGATTTGTAATTGTGACCGCCACAACAAAACCATGAACACGTCTATAGGGACATTTTGAGTTATTTACATGTTAGAAACACATAAAAAGTTCTTTGCTACAAGCATTGTGTGAACTAATAATGTTTTAGGGCTATTTGTAATTCAGAAGCATAATAAAAGAAAAACAGAATGAGATGCTTTGGCAAAAACATTTTCTTTCAGCAGGTAGATAGCCTGACGTAAATAGTTTTAGTTTAGGTGCTAAGATGCAGTTAGTCAGCGTGGGGCGCAGCTCTGCTCACCATAATGTCGCATTAAGGCTTTCATTTTAGTGACCCGGTTTTAAGTCACTTATCCGTCATTATTTTTACACACAATCCTTTGGTAAGTTAACTGTAGCATCGCACAGCTAACTTAAGTCACGGCAAATAAACGGTTGTTTATATGCAGTACCTCGTGGACCACTAGGGGGCGCCAGCGGACCACCAGTGGTCCGAGGGCCACAGTTTGAGAAAGACCGAGTTGGAGGGTAAATAGAACCAGGAAGCAGCTTAAGCTTGAACATTTTAAGCATTTCCTTCTCCGATGTAAAGAAGCCAACATGATTACAAATCTGTTAAAAACCTTTACATGACTTTTTCATTCTGTAGTAACACCAACATTGGGAGCCATTTGCTTTAGCTGTCATCTTATTGTTTCCTTTGCAATTATTTTCTTGCATGGTAGAAGAGTTTAGGGGAAGACGTAAATGTTTGTTTTATCTTTAATGTAAAATATAAAATGCATCGGGAACCCGTAGACAGACTAAATTAAATGCAGATCCCAAAATCTTGGGTGGATAGACATTTCTGGGTCTTTGTGTCCTTTTTACTCTGCCACTCTCTCCCACCGACACCATTTCTCCCCAGTTTCTTCCTTCTTGTTCAACAATGAACTCTGACCTCAACTGAGGCCAGTGAGGCCGTCAGGGATTTATATTTTGTTTTGGATTCTTTTGTGACCTCCTGAATGAGCCGATGTGAGGGTTTACCACTGATCCATATTTTCTCCATTTGTGGATAATAGCTCTCGCCGGCCTGAAGGAGTTTTGAAGCCTTAGAAACAACTCTAACCCTTGACTGAAGGATCTTTCCAGGTGTGATGCTTTGGAGATATTTTAGTCCTGTTGTCAGAAAGATAAGTGATTTCTTGTTTGTACCTTTCTGGCAGTACTCAGGTCTGGAGAATGAAATCTAACCTAGTTTTTCATACAGAGGGCCAAGTTTGTTTTAAGTGTTTTTTTTGTTTTTTTTTATCAACTTAAAGATGATATGATGCGTATAGCAATCAT